TTATTTTGAATACAAAATCGGTTATTGTGATTAAACCATGATAGCTAGATATATGTTCTCGCGGACTTTTTTGTAGGTCTTAATGGGATCTACAAACCCGTAGTACATCATTTTGTTCTATTGTCAATAGTTTATGCAGCGCACGCAAAAATAGGTTTTCGATTTTACACCTTGTGTTACAAAATAGCAATTTTATTACGGATCTCTAATTTTGAAAAGCCTATAGCCTTCCTCGATAAATGGACTACCCAACCCTGAAAGAGTCATTCAAATCGGACCAGTAGTTCCAGAGATTAGCGCGTTCAAACAAACAAACAAACTGCAGCTTTATAATATTAGTATAGATATCTAGAGTTTTACTTTTCATACCTCTTACCTTTTAGTAGTATACAGTAGTAGCCATTTTTAACAGGTCAGTTACACAACAAGCATTTACAGAAGGAAAATAGAAATTAATTGATTAAATCCAATTTGTCGATATTCTTAATTTGAATATGCGGAGAATCCGGACATTTCCTGATGTAAATGCGGCCCCCATGAACCCAAATGAATTGATACCCAAAATCTTTTACCCTTTTTTCTTGCCGCTGCATGCAAGTTCTTATTTGCTGGAGATAAGTGCTCAAATACATAAACCGGGCGTATGTCACCTGCTAGTCCCAGCAATGAAGTGTTGAGCTTCGCTTTAGGGTTTGCCTTATTGTATTTATAAACTGCTGAATAAAACTGATCACGACATCCTGAATTTCGGAACTTTGCTATGATTGTGAGAGGAAATTTGCTTTCTTTGTTTAACTTAGCAAACTCGAATACAAGTGACAATATCTTCATTTTTCAATTTCGAGTCGTCGACAACAGCAGAGCACTGCTTCAAAATATTTATCAAATTTTCATCTTTGTACTCAGGGACACCGTGAAATTCTAAATTATTTTCACATAGATATTGTTCGGTGTTATTTAGGCGTTCGGAAAGTTCCTTCACGGTTTTTTTTCTAAGTTAATAGATGCTTTCTTATAACACTCGCTTTCGTTTGTCAAAGTGATAATTTCATTCTTCATATCCTCATACTTAGTATTGAAAAACTCCAGAGATGTGCGGAAATCCTGAAGTGCCTTACGGATGGGTGCAAGTTATTTCTGTAGTACGGCTGTTAGCATTGAAGGCATTTCGCCTTTGATAGAATTCAAAACTCGCTCGCTTATAGCCATCAAAAATCCCTTATCATAGTTAGATGAATTTTCATCTGTCCCTGGAGGAAAGGAAAAAGCAAGACCCGTCGGCCAGGGAGACCCGTAGTAACGGCTGTCCCGCTGGCCGCCCGTGGCACAGTACAGGGGCCCAAGCGTTCCTTACCAGTTCGCGAGGCTGCCCCATCATGTCACGCATAATCTCGGGGTGGACCGTCGTGCCGGTTGGTGACCGGGGCGTGTGGTCCCGGCGGCCACTCCCGGGGGGGTGCGGGGTCCCTTCCGTCCAGCGGATCCGCGCATCTCCTCTGCAGGCAGTCAATCGGGAAAACAAACCTCCGTTATTTGCCCGGACTCTTCGCGACGGCGTCCGCTCGTTTTCGCGTCTCTTTTTTCACTTCCACCATGGCAGCCTCAATAACAAAGTTTGGACGTACAGCGGTGCACACCCCCACGCCTTCAACGCTGTTTGAGGTCGAGTTCTGCAACATACGCGGACTCCACTCTAACCTCAACGCTGTCCACCACCATCTCGAGACAGCACGGCCAGCATTATTGTTCCTGACGGAGACACAAATACTTCCGCCTGCTGACACAGGCTACCTTAATTATTCCCGCTACGTGCTTGAAGAGTCCTTCAAAGCGAAAGCCGGTGTATGCCTGTATGTTCGGGCGGATGTTTGTTGTTGCCGTCTCCGCTGCTTGGAAGATCCCTCCTTCTCCATGCTGGGGGTGCCTCTACAGATCCCACACCGGCGATGTTGAGACAACTCGACTTTTTGAGCAGCTTAGTCGGGCAGCAGATGACGCGCAGGAACAATTTCCCAATGCAGAATTGGTGTTTTTGGAGGACTTTAATGCTCACCACAATTTGTGGTTAAGTTCTTCCAAAACTGACCATGCAGGGATCTCTGCTCACACATTCGCTCTCACGCATGACTTGAAGCAACTGGTTGATCAGCCCACCAGGATCCCAGATATTCCAAGTAAAGCGCCTTCTTTACTGGACCTTCTGCTCACGACCCATCCACAGGGCTATCAAGTTGTGGTAAGAGCCCCCCTGGGCTCGTCAGACCACTGCCTGATAGCTGCCAAAGCACCACAGGCCAAGCCTCCGCGTCCAGCAGTGGTCAAGCGCCGTATCTGGCATTATGGGTCGGCAGATTGGGACGGTATGCGTGACTACTTTGCGTCCGTCCCTTGGAAGCAGCGCTGCTTCAGTGACAGGGACCTATCGGCCAGTGCCGTTGCCATTACTGAGGAGATTATAATGAGTATGGAATACTATATTCCTCATTCTGATCTCTTCAGTAAGGGCACACGTAACCTCTGGTTCAATCACGACTGTGCTGAAGCTGCTTCGCGTAAGCAAGCGGCATATCGTGCTTGGATCAGAGGCCGCGCTCTCAAGGATCCCGGGGTCGATTCACTCAAAGCAGCCTACAATTCTGCTTCCAAGGCCTGTAAGAAGGCTTACATCAGAGCGGATGCCCAGCGCGTTGCACGTGTTGGCCAGGAACTTATAACGCATCCTGCGGGCTCCCGTAGCTACTGGCGTTTGGCCAAGGCCGTGCAAAAAAACTTCTGCCAGCCCTCGCTGCCACCTCTGAGATGCCCAGACGGAACACTAGCTCATAAGCCGCAGGAGAAAGCGGATTTACTGGCAAAACTCCCGAATCGATGATTGCAATGCACTGCCACCATCATTACCTCACTGTGGCACGACGATGCCTGATATTAAAATCAGGCAGCGTGAGGTTCGTGCCGAATTGCAATCACTCGACGTCCGGAAAGCTAGTGGACCCGATGGCATCCCAGCAGTAGTACTTAAAAAATGTGTAGCGGAGTTATCTCCCGTGCTCACGCGCTTGTACCAATGCTCGTATTCTTTGGGGCGTGTGCCGGAGACTTGGAGATATGCTAACGTGCAACCGGTGCCCAAAAAAGGGGATCGCTCAGACCCGGCAAACTACCGGCCAATAGCAGTCACCTGTTTTATGTAAAGTTTTAGAAAAGGTCCTTAATAACCATCTGACCCGCTACCTAGAGGATCACTCCCTGATTAATGATGGTCAATATAGTTTTAGACCGAAACGATCGACGGGTGATCTTCTAACGTACTTAACTCATATCTAAAATTATCAGGAAATATTTTTTGAGGTTATGTTTAATATTAAATGAAACATAGGTCACCCTATGAACTTAGTATGAATTAAATTAACATTACAAGTAATTCATTTTTATTGATGCGATTTTAAAGAATAACTATTAGGAAACTTGGTATGGTAGGAATCATGAATAAAATAAAAACTGTAGTTTTGCTTCTTATTTTTTGACTATTTTTCACATAATTGTATCATATTGTATTTTATTTGTATATCACATGTATATTGTATAAATATGCAGCGTGAATGTGTATCAGCTGCTCTTGAATAATTTGGCAATATGATCCTCTCAGGAGGTTGTGGCACAGGTTCTCTAGCACTTGGTAATAAGGGGTCTGCTATTTGGTAACATCGATGGCATATTAGATAGCCCAAATAGTTAAATTAAAGGAAAAACAATCGCAAATAAACACACACAACAGGAAAAAATCCGAAACAAGAATTCACAAATGCCACAGATTACTACGAATGCAAACTGCAGGCAGTTTGCATTCGACCACAACCACAAAGTATCGAGTTTTATGCCAACCCTTCACTTGACAACCGTCTGTCATTGGTAGTTTTCAAATTACAGCACTACAGCGCATTATGCGGCATAATGCCTATCTAAGCGCACTCTGCTGTTGCATTTGAAAACTAATTCACGTTCCAATAAAGCATCAGCATTATTCGGCATTGTGCGCCACTGTGTCGCATAATGCTCTGTAATTGGAAAACTACCCTTGTCATGCTTAATATGGAATAAAAAGGACTGACTGATTTCAAATTTTCAAATAGTAAACACGAATAGCCAAGTGAAGTGCCTGCATTGGGAAGAAAGAGTGTTTTGTTTGCAGCGCTGCCATAGATTATACACATAAAATGGTAGTCTCAGATTATTTTTCAACTTTTTAATATAGCTTACTTAACTGGAAGTGTCCGTCACAATCTAAATACTGATAATTATTGCAAAAAATATACTAAGAATTATCATCAATGCCAAATTGGTGTTGGTTCTTAGGCCAAATTTAACATTGTCCTTTATCACAAAAAACTGTCACGACACTTGAATAATAAAATTGTATGATTTTAAGATAAAAAAGTAGATGAATATAATTTTTAACAGTTATATTTACGGGAGTAACTTTTACGCAGATGTTCTAAGTTTGGCGTCAAAGATTATGTGAAATAATGATATAGATAAATTAAACAGACGGATAAAATTATCGTTATGTATAATTTTCACCTGTGGAGAACATTATCGTAATGTATAATTTTCTCTCATATTGATCATCATCAGACTATCTCATATTGATCATATTTGACTTTGATTTCAATATTTAATAATAAAATTTCCTACTATGTAAATGGTTAGTTTAGAATTTTAGAGTCCAAACGGCAGTCCGAAAAACATACAGAAGGTTACCCATTCGATGAACAGCTAAGCAGGATACGAAGTGTACCATAATAGCTTTTTATCGCTTGAGCTCTCACCATTTCGAGTAGTCGGTATCAAGTATAAAAATAAATTATTACTAGGTATATTTCAATATACCTAACTAATCGAAATCTAACTCCCAAATCTCAGATTGCAGAATGTTCTGTAATCCGACCTCGTACTTATAATACGAACTTGCCTTACTTATTATATGTATAATTGAATTTCAGATGTTTCTGGGCAGCACTGGTATTTCTTTCGTGGTATGGTGCAGTGGTGCTGATTGTCGCATCATGGGAAGCTTCCGTAACCCACCCCATTAGCTTCGGCGTGGAGACCACTTACATAGATTGGAACACCAAACTGCCAGCCTTAGCAGTATGCGAAACAAAGAATGACGACAGGATATATGAATTTGCTGATAAGTAAATACCTACTTATTATCACATTTGTGACCGAATTTCAGGAGCGTAGCGTAGAATCGGATCACGATTGAACATATTGCACACTGTTTCGCTTTTATTTCAGGTATTGGCCACCAGATCATAGTTATGATATCGAGGACGCGTTAAAAGAAATAGTTTTCTTCAGAGGAACTTGCAATGCGTTGATAAACAATTGTTATTATTCAACATCACCTGATCCCAGCTGTCCCGTATCCAATTACAGTTATTACACGAGATTTGTGCGCAAGACATGTCCAGAACTTCTACAGCAGTGCAACTATAATGATATGCCCTACAACTGCTGCAAGTATTTCCGAAGTATTGAGACGGACTTTGGACCATGTTTCATCATGGGTACTATTCAAACCAAGTCAGTTTCTTTTTAATAACCATTTAAGATTATTATGCACCTACCTATTTTATTCGTAGGTTGTTCCAAAACCAGAACAACAAACAATTTTATTTCATCATCAGCCTATTAATGTCCCCACTGCTGGGGCACAGGCCTTCCCTATGGATGGAAAAGGGAGTTTGGGCCATGACCCACCACGCTAGCCCAGTGCGGATTGGCGGGTGCTAACGACTGCAGATGCAGCCGGGACCAACGGATTAACGTGCCTTCCGAAGCGCGGAGGAGCTCGAGATTGTAAATTTTTGGTCACCCATCCAATGACAAATACATCCAAATCAGGAGGGATATAGAGGATATGCTATAAACATTAACTAATGCATTCGCGTAAACAAGGTTTGACATCACTTGGGGTAATTCTTTGTAGGCCTCATCTACGGTTTAAAATTTTCAACCACGAAGCATTGCTTTTTTCCATGAAAATAAATTAAAAAATTGCATGCAACTAAATCTACACTTTACAGAGGGGACGCATCTTTTAACACCCTGGAAGCTTGAGGGAGGCAAAATTCGCAATAATCCATACTTCCATACAGATAATATAAACTCGAAAGTGTGTTTGTATGTCTGTAACCGGTTCACGTTTAAACCGCTGAACTGATTTAGATGAAATTTGGTATAGAAATAGTTTGAGTACCGAGAAAGCATATAGGTAGTTTTTATCCTAGAAATCACTCTTTAAGGGGGTGAAAAGGGGGTGGAATTTTGTATGGGAAATACATTCTACTTAATGGTTAGCTATGTATCAAGTAATATCGGTCAGTTCCTGTTTAAAATCATCAAAAATATTACAGACAACGGAACGATTATGCAATCGTGGCAAACAAAACACATAGAAGAGCTGAACTCAAGTTTCAGGCAATCGGCCACGCTACGGTGACTTTCATTAATAATACTATATTAATGGCTTTGCTGATCAAGTCTCTGATAGGCTAGACTTTTCGGAATTAAGATGCCAGATGTATATTTTTAATAAAATCTCTCACATTTGTTTTTGTAACTAGTACATAGTGTTAAACGACAAATAGCTATCTGAAACTTTATCAAAAACAAACTGTCCCAAAAACTATTCCGAAGGGGCTAAACTAGTGATTTCTTACTTTATTCACATGCTTGTTATTTGCTGCAAACAACAAACACTTGCCAAACACCGCGACCTCAATCAATCAGAAAACAAAAACGCGCATCCCCAGGCTTGCAGGGCATGCTAGTTTATTCCGGTTTGGCAAACAACATCCTTTGATTTGTGCGAAAAATCGACACCGACGCCGATCACGTGCAAAACAAAACACACAGACAAACAGTCCATCTACACGTTTGTGTTTGCTGTTTGCCTATCGTATGTAGGCATCTTAAAATGACTGTAGCTTTACTGCTCGAGCAGATAGCCAGTGAACAACATATACGGACTGCTCGAGCAGTCAGGGTCAAGAGCTTGAAGCTGCCATTGATAACTGCTCGCTCAGTTCATACCAAATTTGCAAATGCAACTGCTCGCTCGAGTCGCTGCGCGTAGTATCCTTGCCTAAAGGCGCTGTCCCACGACCTGTGTTGTCGCGGGCGAGACAGCACTGCGCAGAGTTGCAAAACTTATAAGAACTCTAACGTTCGAGATTTAGCTGTCTCTATACATAATACGAAGTAAATAGATATCTCGTACACTTTGAAATCGCATAATGAAGCTGTACGTACTGAGTCGATCCTTTGTGGACTGGACATGTATTTACTTTCTGATAATATTTTTGGTCTGTGTACATGACACAAACAGTCAACATTGTTCCAATCTCATATCAAAGTGTACGAGATTTCTATTAACCTCTGCGCGGCGCGGCCTCGCCCGCGACAACACGGGCCAACGTATATTAAGCTAGCAGACCATGGTCGCAACGCGCACATCTAACCTACTGGGTATTTAGTTGCTAATTAGTTGCTAATTAGTTGCTAATTAGTTGCTAATTAGTTACACTATTCCCGATTTAGTTGCTCAACACCTGTAAAAGATACATGCGATCTGCTAGCTTAAGTCTTAACCTAGCAGACCACAATACTGTATCTTCGGTTCTCGTAAAGATATCGAAGTTCTGCAAACGGCATATTTAGTTGCTAATTAGTTGTTAATTAGTTACACTATTCCCGATTTAGATGCTCAACACCTGTAAAAGATACATGCGATCTGCTAGCTTAAGTCTTAACCTAGCAGACCACAATACTGTATCTTCGGTTCTCGTAAAGATACCGAAGTTCTGCAAACGGCATATTTAGTTACTAATTAGTTGCTGTAGGACAGCATTATTTGTTTTATCCCCCCATCATCCCTTAATTGCCGAACCAGCACCCACACTACCCCCGAAATACGAAAAATTTAAAAAGGGCTCATCAGAGAATATAAACTACGGCGTATTTCGTTGCTAATTAGTTGCTGCAAAATAGCGTTGCTTATAGTATTTAACTATCAACCCTTAACTCCAAATCAGCACTGCAACCACCCCCGAATAGGACGATATCGGAAAATTCTCGTAGGTGGAAAAAGACGCGGCATATTTAGTTGCTAATTAGTTGTTTGCCAAAAACGCAGTTAAGAGTATTCTCCAATCATCCCCTAACCTCAGATGCAACCCCACTACTCACTTAGAAACAGTAGATGGTTAAAATTCTCACGCAGTTGTTTAAGACTGCTGGATGTTTTGTTGTTAATTAGTTGCTGAAAAATAGCGTTGCTTATAATATTTGATTATCAACCCTTAACTCCAGATCATCCCTGCAACCACCCCAGAATAGAACGATATCGGAAAATTCTCGTAGGTGGAAAATAGACGCGGCATATTTAGTTGCTAATTAGTTGCTCGTCAAAAACGCAGATAAGAGTATTCTACAAACATTCCCTAACCTCAGATGCAACCCGTCTACTCACTTAGAAACAGTAGATGGTTGGAATTCGCACGCGGATGTTTAAAACTGCTGGATGTTCTGTTGCTAATTAGTTGCTCGCCAAAAACGCAGATAAGAGTATCCTACAATCATCCCCTAACCTCAGATCCATCCCCTCTACTCACTTAAAAATAGTAGATGGTTCGAATTCAAACGCAGATGTTTAGAACTGCTGGATATTTTATTGCTAATTAGTTGCTGCGAAAAAGCGTTGCTTATAGTATTTAACTATCAACCCTTAACTCCAGATCAGCACTGTAACCACCCCAGAATAGGACGATATCGGAAAATTCTCGTAGGTGGAAAAAAGACGCGGGATATTTAGTTGCGAATTAGTTGCTCGCCAAAAACGCAGTTATGAGTATTCTACAATCATCCCCTAACCTCAGATGCAACTCCTCTACTCACTTAGAAACAGTAGATGGTTAAAATTCGCACGCAGATGTTTAAGACTGCTGGATGTTTTGTTGTTAATTAGTTGCTGAAAAATAGCGTTGCTTATAATATTTGATTATCAACCCTTAACTCCAGATCATCCCTGCAACCACCCCAGAATAGGACGATATCGGAAAATTCTCGTAGGTGGAAAATAGACGCGGCATATTTAGTTGCTAATTAGTTGCTCGTCAAAAACGCAGATAAGAGTATTCTACAAACATTCCCTAACCTCAGATGCAACCCGTCTACTCACTTAGAAACAGTAGATGGTTGGAATTCGCACGCGGATGTTTAAAACTGCTGGATGTTCTGTTGCTAATTAGTTGCTCGCCAAAAACGCAGATAAGAGTATCCTACAATCATCCCCTAACCTCAGATCCATCCCCTCTACTCACTTAAAAATAGTAGATGGTTCGAATTCAAACGCAGATGTTTAGAACTGCTGGATATTTTATTGCTAATTAGTTGCTGCGAAAAAGCGTTGCTTATAGTATTTAACTATCAACCCTTAACTCCAGATCAGCACTGTAACCACCCCAGAATAGGACGATATCGGAAAATTCTCGTAGGTGGAAAAAAGACGCGGGATATTTAGTTGCGAATTAGTTGCTCGCCAAAAACGCAGTTATGAGTATTCTACAATCATCCCCTAACCTCAGATGCAACTCCTCTACTCACTTAGAAACAGTAGATGGTTAAAATTCGCACGCAGATGTTTAAGACTGCTGGATGTTTTGTTGTTAATTAGTTGCTGAAAAATATCGTTGCTTATAATATTTGATTATCAACCCTTAACTCCAGATCATCCCTGCACCTACCCCAGAATAGGACGATATCGGAAAATTCTCGTAGGTGGAAAAAAGACGCGGGATATTTAGTTGCACTACTCAGAGGGGGTGGATCTGAGGTTAGGGGATGATTGTAGGATACTCTTATCTGCGTTTCTGGCGAGCAACTAATTAGCAACAGATGTTCTGTTGCTAATTAGTTGCACACACAGCAGTTTTAAACATCCGCGTGCGAATTCCAACCATCTACTGTTTCTAAGTGAGTAGAGGGGTTGCATCTGAGGTTAGGGGATGTTTGTAGAATACTCTTATCTGCGTTTTTGACGAGCAACTAATTAGCAACTAAATATGCCGCGTCTATTTTCCACCTACGAGAATTTTCCGATATCGTCCTATTCTGGGGTGGTTGCAGGGATGATCTGGAGTTAAGGGTTGATACTCTTATCTGCGTTTTTGGCGAGCAACTAATTAGCAACAGAACATCCAGCAGTTTTAAACATCCGCGTGCGAATTCCAACCATCTACTGTTTCTAAGTGAGTAGAGGGGTTGCATCTGAGGTTAGGGGATGATTGGAGAATACTCTTAACTGCGTTTTTGGCAAACAACTAATTAGCAACTAAATATGCCGCGTCTTTTTCCACCTACGAGAATTTTCCGATATCGTCCTATTCGGGGGTGGTTGCAGTGCTGATTTGGAGTTAAGGGTTGATAGTTAAATACTATAAGCAACGCTTTTTTGCAGCAACTAATTAGCAACGAAATACGCCGTAGTTTATATTCTCTGATGAGCCCTTTTTAAATTTTTC